TGGTGGGAGGGGCAAGATGGTGGGAGGGGCAAGATGGTGTGAGGGGCAAGATGGTGTGAGGGGCAAGATGGTGTGAGGGGCAAGATGTTGGGAGTGGCAAGATGGTGGAGAATCAAGATGGTGGGAAGTGAAATGGAAGAAATGAACATACAAGTATGCATGATACGGAAAAGGATATCAGTTAAAGTGAGGAGCAGTGCAGCGAGAAAGGATAGGTTATATGTGCAAGGCACAGGACATGGATGGAATTACGGTGTTGCATTGAACAGATCACAGGTAGGAATTGTGATAGGAGCAGCAGTGTAGCAGGGTGGAAGTGAAAAGCAGTGAAAAGAAAAGACAACAAATTTGGGGAATAAGTGAATGACAGAGGCGGCAATGTGCAAACAGCATTAAAATGCAATATGGTTGGATGATAAGGAGTGTGGGTGCATTGTTATATCACAAGGTTGGCAGCCAAACAACAGCACCAAGACAGACACAATGAATAGCAAAAGTGAGAAATATATGAACAAGGGGAACGAGGTAAAGTAGCAAAATAAACACAAAAATAAAAAAGTAAAAATTGCCATACGATGTAAAATTGAGACCAAAACATTCGAGTTTCAAGTGTATTTTGATACAGAGATCAGACCAGCAGGAAAAGGTCACATCAAAGTTTTAAAACAAAACAACATCAAAAACAGATACATGTACACAAAAGTTGAGAAAGTTTCAATCCACACAAAATTGAAGTGAAAAAAAATAGCAGGGATTCAGAAAAGATCAGGAAGCAAAGACAACAAGCAAATGGGGGATTGCAAAAGGAAGTAAAGGTCAGAGGGATGACACAGGACAGAGGGATGAAGGGCAGAATTGTTACCGGGTTAAATCAAGAAATGGGAAATAGGGAGGGGGAAGATCAGGGGTCAAGGGTCAAGGTTGAGGGAGAAGCAAAAAGAGAAAGAAAGCAATGGTTAACGCAATTTCTGGGGAGAAAACCTCCAAGAGCAACATCTTTGCCCCTTTTCAAAGGGGGAGCTTTCAATCACTGTGAAGAAATACTGCAAGCCCTCCAAGTGAAAATCAGCATCCTTAAAGATCCTTCTTAAAAAGAAGCATCGGCGAGACGGATATCTACTGAAGATGTTGTTTGTTTGAATGGCATATTTTAGAAAACTTGAGGCACAGGTTGCACTCACGACCTGTACTTTCAATTTTTCCAACCCGTAAAGGTTTTGAATTATCAGAAGTGTGTTGAAAGGTGTACGCTGCGAGTAGGTATTTTCTGGGGAGTGGTAACACGAAGTGTCAGAGGTGTTTTCATGACTTCTGCTAGGACTGAATCAGATGGCAATACGTACGGCCATTTATTATCGACAGTTAAAAAAAACCAAATACTTTTTGCTGCCAATTGCTAGCGAATTACCGGCATCATAAATTTGACACTAATATGTAATATGTCTCTGCAGTAGTCTCTGTATTCATTTCTTTAAGGTAGTGGTACATACATTGTAAGCTAACATTAAAAAGATATCAATTTATGATGTTCAGTAAGAACCAATTTTTCAACTGACAAAAGAATCTAGGATCATTTTCTGTCTAATATACGTACACTGTAAACTTTGACAATTCTCAATCCAAAATAAATGTGTGACATTCAAATGAGTAAGATTAAGAATGCAAGGTACAATTAAACTTATGTTTAAAACAGAAAGGTGTGACACACTGAAGGAGTTGCCCATTCTTAAAAAAAAAAACACGTAAATGACCATGCTTCCGAGGCACAGTGGAATGGGCTAGGTATGCAGTTAAATGATAGATGAAATCTACTTCAGTGAGTGAAGTCTAGTCTTGCACCCAGGACTAAAACTACAAGCATGCAGGGGTTGCTAACAAAAAGAACAGTTTTCATGTCAATACCCATAACTCAGTCTGTTGTGCACATTTGTGGTGTTCCATTAGGAAAGTTTTGATTCCCTTCTACCGGTACTTCCTCGCGCCAGGCAGTGCGTACAATACAGGCGATTCACAATAGTGCGCCTCCAAGAGTTCACAATGCTTTGGCCGATGCATTTGAAAAGCGTCAACAGATTTCACGTGTTGTGACTGGCCAACGCATTGCAAACTCTTGGAGGCACACTACTGCGAATCGCCCAGATCAAATTAATGCTTTGCATCAGACAAAAATGATTCCGTAACAGCATCTTTAGGTTACTCTGCCGGAAGGAAAACTATTTTCCTCTCCCACAAACTCTAAGCCAAAGCGAGAGAAACAGGAAAAAAATCTCTAAAGTATGACATGAAAATCTCTTGACACACTTTGTGAAATCATCAGCATTCTACAGGGTTTGGCCTAACGAATTTGAAATAACTGCTAACGTTTCAGTTAAACACACAAGTTTGGAGCCACTTGCATGTACTTTTTCATGAAGTGCTAAACACACCTTTTTTTCTTGCCACTTGCTCAGGATTAAAGTCCATAATTGTATTAAAATATTGATGTTTTGACAGCAATGGTGCTTGACAGCCGAAACCCTGATTCTACTTCATACAATATGACAACACCAAATTAATTTTTTGCAGGACACAAATAAGTAAGTATGGGGAGATTTCTTCAGAAAGGGCTGAGAGTACTCAAAACTCCCACAAATTGACTGAGGTTGGCTCCCTCCCAATTCTTTTGGTGAATGTTTCTTTATTTTTCTGAGAGATCTCAGGGATATTTAAAGCAAATATAGAATTCTGCACATACTCTGGAAATTACGACCATGACAGAATTATCTGGTGAGGATGAGGCATATGCGCATGTATATGCCAGTAAAATCATTCTGGGCCTCTCACACAACCGGGGAATGCAACAGAAAAATCACTGGGAAATTAATTCATTTCTTTCATCACAGTGCACTGCATATGGTTACAATTTGTTTTAATACTCCGGCGTCGATGAGAATTGGATCAGGGTTGGTCAGTCAAGGGGCTGTGGGTTGAAAAAGGACCGCAGAGTGGGAGTCAGGGAACAAGACTACACAGGGCAAGAAGTGGCCATGGGGCCTGAGCTACCATACCATGCTTAGGACATGTTCATGTGAGTGTGTCATGCAAATGGCGTGCAGGTGCATATTTATACATGTACATGTACATGAGTGTTGGTCAGCATTAGCCGAAATACATGTAGTACCGATACCAACAATGCAATTACATGTAAGTAATCCTAATGGCATTAGCTACTTGTAGCCTACATGTAATTACAACATGTTATTACTTTGGTGACATGGTGCAAAGTAGACTGTTTCAGGGACAACGCAGAAATGAAATACCTCTCTTCCCTACTTACAGAAATAGCAAGCAATCAGATTGTAAAATACTACCGCAATGCAGCAGAGACCTTCTACATGTAAATGTAATGAAGCCAACATACATGTAAAATGCCCACTATAATTGTACAACATTCGCCTAGCTATTCTGGACAGTATAGATTCCATTCTGCTCTTACGGAACGGCTGAACTGTAGTGTGCTGACAATTCCAGGCATGCCACAGTTAGTTCAAATTTCAAAATATGTTTGGTGCAGAAATATTACCATTGCAATAACACTACATGTATGTGTATTTGAATGTAAGGATTTGGGTCGGAGAATTTCCCGGCCCAGAACACAACAGCATTCTTTTGGTAAAAGCTTCTCCTTTCATAATGAAAGAGTACAGATGCAAAAGTGTATTTAAAAAATTGCAGCGTCCAAATTCAAAGCTATGCTTATTTTATACTGCAAATACAAAAACCTGTGTGGTTAATTGCAGTTTGACTGAGAATATAAACTGTATGAAATCTATAAATATTCATGAATGGTACGACAAGAAAAGTGCTTCACATTTACATTTGCCTCAATATTGTGAAAATGTAATTTTATGATTACAAACTAGAATTCCTTTTCAAACATGTTTGCAGCTGTCCACTTGACAGGAATTGTACAAAAAGCAAAATATTAAACAACATAAAGAGCGGGTAAACTACCAACAATAATACATACCAACAACCCCCTCCCCAAGTGAATTTCAAAAGGTTGGTATTTAATAAACAGGTGCATTTTCTCATGTTAACTGAGTGATGTGTACCACTCCCTTTTTACAGCCATGAAGGCTCTGACAATTAACGATGCCAGGGTTTTCTGGTATCTGAACAGAATAAAAGCAAAAGGGTTGTACTGGGACATGTACGGTTTATGTCACACTGAGTGTGTGTGTTTCCAAGCCTTCTGCATCATGCACGCATGCCATGCAGGCATGCCCTAACACTGGGGCCCACGCCACTACGGTTACATGGCAGTGGTGGACAGGGGAGGAACCGTGCGCACCAAACGACGACCTGCCAGCTGGAATGCTGCCAGGAACGCGCGTGTCGTCACGGCCCATTGCCATGGCAACCACATTTCCTGCAGGGTAGAAAACATGCTGCATCAACACATTCATCCAGACTTTTCAAAAGGGAAACAACCACTGTGTCTAAGAAGGAAACACTAGATGTATTTAACAAAACAAAACACGGCCCAAAGAGATAGGAAAAATGTTATAATGGCTTTGTCCACTGAAAAATAACCATAAACAAAGCAAAAGAAAAATAAAAAATTGAAGCAATTTTCAAAAACATGTCTAGGAAGGACTATCCTACTACAAATTTTGGGGTTTCAAATATATTTTCCATTCAACTCTTTGAAAGGGTCAAGTTGGATTTGAGAGTTTTTGCACACTCTTCAGAAAGTTACAAGAACGTTTTTTCCTACATTTGTAGACCCAACCAACCCAATTTAATAATTCCACACCTCAGTCACAATTTCAGCTTCCACAATGCAATCTCATCTAAAAACACAAAAATCTCAAATTAATTGGGATACCTCTCCTTTCTTCTTTAAGAAATGTTGGTTGAACATGAAAGACAGGGCAACTCTGGTACTTTGTGAAAAAAAGAGACTTGTTGAAAAAGGAAAGAGGGTCATCCACCCACCAGCTCCCCCCCAAAAAAAAGCACACCAAAGATGACTGAATTCAAACAATGACAGTGCCATTTTTATTCAGCCTATGAAGTAATGTTAAACAAAAACTTCAGGAAAGCATTATGAAAGGTAATCTGTAAAATATGAAACCTTTTGCAATCACAGCTGTAAACTGGGAATGATACACAAAGAGGACAGGATATTTCTCCCCCAGCCAACAGAAACAAGATTAACAGACACCATCACGTCAGCTTAGGTTTCAATGCAATGACATTCTCCTTGAAGAATGGTAAAAATAAAAAAAGCAAAAAGGAAAATCTATATTATGTATCTGAGGAGAAGGGTGGAAATATTGCCGAGAATAATTCAATAATTAGAAAGAAGAATTTGCCAAACGTTGGCTGGATGAGCACGGGGGGGAGGGGTCCTTTTGTCCTCCCTGCTTCTTTCTTTTCTTTCACTCGGTCAGACTGCAGGGGTCTAGCAATCACAGGTTCGGGGCGTGGATAATACCGCAAGGCCTTGAACTTGTCAGGCAGGATGTTTTTCTTATGCGCAATGCTTCGAAATTGCGGGCTGTTGCGTGACAACAATTTTGAGACAATTCAAATTCTTTCGCATTTATTTCCATCGGCCGGGGCGATTTCATCAATGCTTGAGGGACACTGGCTGCTGTGAGCCAAACTCACTGTCTTTGTGTGGACCCAAGAAGAAAACAGGTCCCTACAGTATGGGCTTGCGTGAAAATATGTGCTTGTGTAGGTTCCTGATATATACACTTAGTTGAATAGTACTAATGGAAAAATTGTCACTCATTTTTTTTTTTTTAACAGAGTGGATCGAGCCACACAAAAAGCAATATTTGTGTTTGCTTTTTAGAAAAGGGGGTAAAGTGACAAGCATTCATCGAACAGCTGTGGCAAATCAGTGCTTTGGTTGAAAAAGAGCCACCTGTCAAATCTGAACAACGCATGCATAGAAAGTTCAGGCAAGTTCTTGCATTCATGCTACTGCACAGGTTAACGGGGGGGGGGTCAACAAACAATACATCTATTCAAACGAAAGCAGTAATCATTTTTCAAAGAAAGCAGATAACTTTTCCTTTTTTTCCTTTTAAATTTTTTCCGGGACAATTTAGCTGGCTAGTACAAATTATTATGCCATATATTCCACTTGACCTTTTTTTAAAAGTCCCTGGCTTGTACATCGATGAGTAGGAAATGAGTTAAAGTGTGGACAACCGCAGTTCAATTAAAAAAAATCAGTGTCTGATAATTTGTGTGAGGAGTTAGAAATCCAAGAAGTGTCTAATACGGAGTTTAAACTTTACATGCTGACTATTTTGTACTATATGTGACTGAATACTGAAAGACAGGCATCATGCTACTAGTGCAAACTATCAAGAATGTACATTTATGTACACCAATGCATTCGCAAGAGTATAATCAAGTGTTACGAATGAGTAACAAAGAATTTGTTAAAGGCCATGTGATTGGACTTTGGAAATCTGAACAAGAAACGCTGAGATTTTGTACCATTTTGTTTGTCATCAGAGATCTGTCCATGATTTTATCACCGAACAAGGATTCACTGTTTCAATGATGCATATTTCATTTTCAGAATCACATAGTTGAAACTCTTACAGCTTCAACCCAATTATTCAAACAATCCGTTTTGCAACTAAAGTAAGTGGGCTTATCAACTTGTACATGGCATGATAGGCAAGTTTTCACTTTCCACAGAGATTCACAATTATTTTTCCTGGTCACAACTTTACTCTTGTGATGAAGGCTCTAATGTGAGTGAACAGAACAAGATGATGAAACAAATCTTCACGTAAGTACACTAAATTTTGGTGTCCAGAATGTACACAGAAGGGTGGTTTTTTGGAAGTTTGTGTCTGGTGATATTTCAATCGTTTATATTGAAAAGGAACATTGAAAATTGTTTCCCAGATATTTGATTCTTTTTTATATACTGGTACATAGAATCATCAATGATTGAACTGGTAAGTAGTGGACTTTTTGCTCGACTTGAAAACAGGTACAAAGGATTAACCAGAGCCCCTGGGGTATGTACAAAATGTTTGATTAAGGAGGATTTTGGACTGTTTTGGAGGCAGTTAAAGCAAGCAGAAGTGACTCAGAACTAACTACAAAATGGGCGACAAGTCTTACCGTTCTCATGAGTTCTTCTGAATGGGACCGCAGATCCGAATCTGATGCACATGGACTTATTCTCTCACCACCCGCACCAAAGTTCATCTGAAAATTACACAAAAAGACAAGCAAAGTACAGTTTGTGTTTAGTTTTCGCTAGTGGCAATGTGAGTGTTAGGGAGTCCAAACATGACAGTCAAGTTGCTTGAGCTCTAATTAGAGATTTGGGTGAGTTTTTGCATCACAGTGATGTGAATTCTATTATATTCCATCGATTATCGTGTCACAAGCTGAAGCAACAGTGTGACACATCATACGTTATCACCAATCAGGTTCTGTACAGTTGCTGTTGTTTATGAAGATACATGACGGTGTGACGGTAAGACTAAACTAACAAAACAACATAGAACAAGAAACAAATTTTTTTCCTTAAGTCAAGCAAGGATCAAAGATACAATTGTAACAGATTTGATACAGAAGAGGCCAAGCTCTTTTGATTTGCGGGGCACAAAATCAGCAATGAGCCACCCTTTCGACCCAAAATAGAAGCATCAATTTTAATCACACAACCAAAACAAAGACAAAAAAATCCAACCTCATCTCAACCCAAAATCAGAGGAGAGGGACGTGAAGCTTGTGACTGAGAAATGCTGGATAATGGCAGAACTAAAAAAGTTGAAATGTCACTGGCACAGAAGGCAATGCACTCCATACTCAGAAGTTATACCCATCCCTGGAGTATGACCAAAGTGTCTTTCTTCCTTTTGGTGGGGTTCTGTTGGCTAAAAGTTACACACTACTCAAGTTGCATGTTCATTTTCAATTGGATCTAATAATAGAAAAATACAAGCTGGGTATTTTTTTCTGCCGGTATTGTCTCGTTATATTTGGAGACTTCCTCCAGTTCACTTCAATCCCTTCTGCTCTGAGAAACATGTAACTAGTATGTAATTGTTGCCACCACAATGCAGAGGCACAGCATAAACGGAGCCTGTACCCCAATATATGTTTCGCCCCCAAAGTGGACCCTATTTTAAGCTGGTTGCTAAGAGGAGTCTTAACCTCCCAGCTCTTCTAGAAAAACACCAGGGACGTGGTTTTTTTCCCTCCCCGGTACCCTCTCCATCGGTCCCTCCACCTCTCTTTCCCATCCTTCTTCATGAAGCAGCCAAACTCAGTGCAGGAAAGCTATAAATAGGCACAGCTTTGTTTGCCCGTCTCCACGCACACAGACACACACGTGTCCATGCGGGAGGATTCAGTGCCATAATAAGTTGTGTTTGACGTCATTGCAATGAATTCTTGCACTTCATTTGGTCTGAGGCCAACACACAAGCTTGTAAATAAGCCTAGTCCAGGTTTCTCACTCCCCTACCCCTCCTTACTCCTTCCAGCTCCGTCCGTAAACAAACAAGACCTGGAAATTGTCATGAAATGGATAATAATTCAAAGCAATCAATCAGGTTTAACAAGTAGTACTACATTTATGACTATGAATACACTAAATGAAATTAGGGACAAAAAAACATTTTAAAAAGGAGGAGATGTCAATACAGTGACCTACTTCTGGTTTTCATTAATTTATCGGATGTTTACATGATCATGCTGCCTATAGGCAATCATCATGCTTACCTTTCATGTTAATCAATATTTGTTTGAAAATAGAGAGACAGACAGAGGGGGCTGAGATCGGTCCTTGAAACATCAACAATGATGACAGTTTTAGGTTCTTTTGTTTTTCAATTGCCTCATTTCTCAATCCAGTTTTAATATTCCCAGAGGAAAAATTCAACAACATCAACTTTGTGAAAAAATTATTGCAGTAGGTTTTTTTGTATTATGGAAAATATTATTGATAAACAGAGTCATCGTGCTTTAACACAAACCTTTCAATTAAATGGATTGATTTACAATGACAAGTTTCGGCTGAATTGCTACTTCATCAAAAGCATAAATACGGAATCCTGTGTAAGACTTAATGGATTTATGGCCCATCTTTAAAGCTTGTAAATACAGAAAATATAATGTGTGTGTGTACTCGCGTGGAATTGTGGGAACGGCACCGAGTGCTCGCAACCAATTCTATTTAAATGTGATTACAAGAATGCCTGCACAACTGATTTTCCACTGAATGTGCACAATTTAATATGCCCCAAACACCTGGAATACATCTGAGTGTGGGCGCATATCATGGCAAGGCGGCGGTGAAGTGTGCGCGCCACGTTCTGCATCTGAACCGCCACTACTGGGGTCGTCATATGAGTTCATGCTTTGGCCGTGACTAAAGGAAACTGATAAAAACTAGAGACACATCCAGATGAAAGCATCGTATTTACATGTACAATGTAGCTGCAACAGTCCAGGTTCTTCCAACTGCTGGAGGAATTCAGAACGGTCAGGGTAAATATAATTTCTGTTGAATGTATTTTCTTTACAGATGACATTAACCATACGGGTCTTCAGAATGTAAGCAGTGACATGGTTACAGGTTGACAGAAGTGTGCGCCAACTTTTCAGTCCTTTACCTTTTGGTTATTCATCCAACATTTAGGAATGTTACGATCCAACACAGCTCACATTACTGAATACCTGTTTGAACTAAACTAGTTGACCTGTGCATCATTGTATCCTACAGAGTTCCTCCCAAATGACATGTCCAACAATTCATGCGTAAATCGACCACGTCTGAGCTGCCTGACACAGTGATCTCAGCAGAGTCAAATTTCAAAGGATGATGGCATTTTTTATGTATGGATGAGACATAAATTGTGGACCTGGCCTTTCTGACATCATACTCGACCTTTAACCAGATGTGTTTTGAATGTCAGTGGGGGTGGGGGAGGGCTTGGACACCATGTGAAGTTGAGAATCTTAATGAGGCTCCTAAGCACTGAAGTGTGGCCGAATCAGGTTGGGGTGAACCTTATACATCAAGTGCACCATCATTTGCTTGATTAAGGTGACTGCGCTTGTGCATCTGAGGAGAGTCTGTCTCCCAGTCTCTGTAATCCCTGTTTCGGTTCCAACAGGAGGCAGGGGAGGAGGAAAACTCTCAACTACACAGCAAACCTGACCAACTAAACCCAAAATCCAATCCCCCATCAATCATCACTGCTCCTTCTGCCAATCTTCATGAACTGCCCCGACTAAAGGCTGGTCCATACTTCAGGCAAATGCAAAGCCAAGCAACTTTGACGTCACTAAACATTTGCATTGGAATTCACCTCGGTTGAAATGTGCTCAACTTTTTCGAATTTGCGGCGCATATATTTGATGTCATGTCCAAAGCCCTGTTTGTGTACAATTTCGCACTGTGTATATGAATCAGCCTCAACAGTGCCAACCTGCACGCTTCATCCCTCTAACTCAAGCTGATAACATGCTGATATTCTGATGGCATGTACATGTATCTGCTTACGGCCTTCTCAGGAATGTGGCCCATTCATTCTGTCATAAGGAGGCAGATTTGCTCGCATTACTGTCCACCTGGTTCTAACCAAAATAGACAAATGGCAGAAAGTTGTATCATGCATCTAGAGACACTGAATCATTAAGGCTGGAAACTAAAATGGAAGTTATCTTCAACTGGTATACTACCCCGCTTCAGTAGAAAAGCAAATATACAAACTGCACACTTATCATGTAAGTTTTTGACAGCCCATCAAATCATGTACATGTATGATCTCCATCCCACAGTTTGTGTAATCCGCCCAACAGGCCGACTTCAGGCAATGAGTTTTTTTTTTTCCTCACTGGTCTTTTCATGCAAACAATGCCACAAGCAAACAAATCATACAAACGTAACACAAGACATGGTGTACACCCCATCAGTGCCACCCCCCCAAAAAACCGATGTGTGACCATGATTGGAAGCATAGAGGTTGATGCACCAGCCAATCAGCATCATCTCCTGACAAACCATGGATAAGCAAGAGGAATGTGCCGGCGCGCACCCACACCCACACACACATACCTGTTTTACATACAAAGTGTGGACTTTCCTTTGTTCTCCTGTGGTTAAGGAAACTTGAGGAAAATGCTCCTTTTTCTCCAACTAGGATAACTCCTTCGAGCTGGACTTTTGTTGGTGATTCCCTGGACTGTTCCTCTTCATTTTGCCATGGATAACCTTGACCCCAAAATGCCTCTGAAACTATTTTTCAGAGAGGGGGAAACAATGTGTGGACGTGTGGAGTCCACACAATGCCATAGCACCTTGCATTATGTGGACTTCTTTTGTGCAGAGGTCCACACTACACGCCTGCACAAACATACCCATTCAACGGGTCAAGGATGCAGTTCCTGCACAAGCAACACAAACCAACAGCATCCTTTCAACGGCATGTACCGGTAGGTACTTGTACATGTACATTTACTTGTTCTGCTGTTAATTTCAAGGCTCGCACAATCAACTGATCTCAAGTCGATCAGGGCTGTGGGGGGATAACGGATTTTGGGCCAATGGGATAGGGTAAATCTTGCAATTAAGGACTCGCATCAGTGACATATAAATCCGTGTAAACAAAAACAGCACCTCTGCATTTGGAGAGCACATAATAGTGAAATAATTGAAAGGATAAAGCCATTTCCAAATGAAAACTCCTCTCATCGTCCTCTTTCCCATCTCTCATCCAGGTTTTTATCAAATACGTACGTGCAATGTATTTGGTTGTTCTGTTCATTTTAACCAATGACTGTAAGGGCTGCATAACAATGGACAGGCAGAAGCCAAAAATGAAAAACAAAAAAAAGTTTTGTGGAGAAAATCAGTCAATGAATTATACAAAAAATCATCCCACTCAAGAAGTGGCATTAAACTGTAACATCACAATGAAGTGTCCCCCAAGTAATCCCACACCTTCCACATCAAACTTCCCGGAATGGTGGAAAAAAAAAAAAACAATACCCTGGAAAATGACAGCCGCTTAAATGCCGCTGGTAGAGACCCCACCAGTCAGCCGTAGACCACAGACCACTTTCAACTGGCAGCTTGCGAGGATTTACAGGCAAGCCAAAGCTAAACAAGAGGGGGGACAGTTATGAGAGAATCATTTATCAGCTGAAGGCCATTGGTAGCTAATGGCAGATGGCAAGAATGCAAACAAACTTGACCGTGGACGATGATTAATGACAGATGATGTTATGACAGCATCCAGAGCTTACGCCTCTGTAAAAAAAAAGTTCACAATGGGAGAGGCTACCTACTGAAGATTCTGAGAGTACACCAGGGGTGATTAAGAAGGGAACGGGGGTTGTTAGAACCTCCGCCGGATCATTCAATGGGAGATTACACGTAATTTTGTTATTTTTTCATAACCTACCAGTAATTACTTCAATTGTCACAGCTTTTTTATGGCAGCTCCAGCAGCCTAGTCAGGGTTCTGTCCTTGGACGTGATGGAAGGGGGGCTGGATGGTGTTGTGGGAGGTGCGCGATTTCTGTTATAGCATTAACCATGGTCGGACTGTACGTAAGTTTAGTGACACTTTGGACGAAGCATTTAAGAAGACAGTAAGGAACAATTAAGTTTGAGTGAAGGACACCGCAGAGAACTGAGGCATTGTGTGGTAGCCATCTTGCAAGGCAGTTCTTTTGTTCCGAAGGAAAGCTTCCCTTGTACATACCCTATGGAACAAAAGCACTGACTTGCAAGATGGCGGCCATGCAAACGCTCTATCACTTCCCAGGAAAACCCATATAGTCAAGCCCAATGTACCCAGTGCAAGCTGACAACCTAATCCACACATATTCAAAGCTGGGCAATGAGATATTGGAAAACAGAAGTATCTAATGTCAACCTGGTACAGTGCATGTAAATGTCATCAAAATGATATTCCATACTACCAACTGATTTCAAGGCAATATGAAAACATGACCACTTTTCAACAAACCTGCTATCCCCCTATTTAAGAAAGGTATCTCCCTGTCAAATTGCTTGAATTGTTTTGGCTCATTCAGGCAAATGAGAATGGGTTTTTAATACTTGTGTGCAATTACTTGTATAGTGACTGAACTTGATAATTATGGAAAGCAATCAGCCCCACCAATTTCGGCTTTATTTTTTGATTTTCTCATACAACAATAATCACTCGCCCAAATAATCAGCCATCGCAATTACCAGCAACAAAAGTCTTCTCTAAAAGTGTACACTGAGGTGGCGGCAAAGTGCAACGAACTTTAGGGGGAAAGTCGAAAACCATCCAGGCAGAAAATGAAATGCAAACAGAGGAGTCCACACATCACGCCGTGGTTAAGCTAATTTAGGCTGCATTAGGGGAAACCTCTGAGGGGCTGCCTCGCTAATCTTGTAACCACTGGCTTCCAAGTGGGGGTGATGTCATCCCCTCACGACAGATTATACAAGTGTGCAATTGAGGGAAGAACGAGTGGGGTGGATTTTCATAATCTCTTTTCATCCTCCACCTCTTGGTTTTACTGTAAACTTCGTAGACAATCCATATTCACGTACATGTACGTTTAGCTCACTCTTTGGATTTGATGCATAAACTTGAAGAATCTGCTGTGTGTATGTGAATGGGAATGATGACTGGATTGTAATGATGCCCCTGTGCTGTTCATTTACTTCAAATTGGAAATCAAAACATACCTGGGACACCAAGGTTGAGGCCAGCACCGGCAGTAAAGTGAAAGGCACTGGTTACCAGCACGTACTGTATTCACAACCAAACTCTTGGCTGTTTTCATTTGTGGTTTCACAAAAATGAGCAAGACTCACTCGAAAAATTTTACGGTGTTGGTGCTGAGCTGAGACAGGTCAGAGGGTCTGCAACTCTGAGGATCTCATGGATAAAACTGAAACTGACATCAGACACATTGGTGAGGACTGGAAACCCTACAACTTTGAAAGGAGGGGGTGCTTGGTATCCAGCCCAGAGGCAAGCGCACAGACATATGCACCTCAGCAGTTCTCATGCACTCCTGTGCCCTTTTCCAATAATGAATAATGAATACTATGGTTAAGTATTGTCATGTGACTGCAGACGGATGCTCAGACATTTATTAAAACGTCAACTCTAAATGTAACAGCTTGGCTTTCTGCCAGGCAGTTGAAAGATATGGGTTAGCGGTATTGCATGAAATACAAATTTCCTGAGTGACTTTCTTCCCGCTAAGTAGCTTTGTAAGATTGGGTCTATGGCTTAACACCATGTCCCTGTCATCATGAGTGACAGCCAAGCCAAAACCTACCTTCTTCTTCTTGCAGGTGCGGTTGATGCGGCTGAGCTTTTTGATATCCATCTCTGTGGTGTTAACACAGCCCGGTACTGGCCGATGCACATCCCAGAATGCCCTCTCTTGACTGTCCAACACTTTCCGCTCCATCTTGTCTCGCTTCTTGTCTACCCTAGGCCAAAAACAAAGCACAAACGATCTTGCATGTCAGCAGTGCTATTTATTACTAGTTTCCTAAATTTGATTGGGTGTCCCATGAAAAGCAGAGCATTGAAGGCTGTATAAACAGGAAGCTACATGTACATGTACATGTTACCATCCATGCTAAAGTCCTCCAAGGTGTGGCATGCTGAACCATCCTGTGTGAAGCAGAACTTGGTGAAGTGATCCCCTTGTTTTGTAAACCCTGCCTTTCCACAAAATCAGTGCCTTTCCTGGAGTAAGCTCTGGGCCAGAGCTGTTTATAGAGAGAGATGCGACATGAGTGTCTCAATTTTTGGAATCAAAATGGTGGATTATGCATCAGTGCACACAGACAATTAGTACATAACAACTGGATGCTATACTGCACACCTAATGAACAGCCATTTTGGGTCCAAAGTCTGAAGTTGGTACTACATGTACACTCTCTATACACAGGTCTGCCCTGGGCAAGCTCCTGGACCTAATAAAACAGCTCCATGATGCCCAGGTGAATGATCGTCTGTGACATAAGGTAGAACTTACATGTACATGTATGTCCAACGCATAATTAACACATTCGCCAAAATATCCTAAAATGAAGAACAGCCAATTATACTGCATATGTCCAGCGGCATAACTGGGGTACCTTTTGTGGGGGTGGGCACTTTGGGGGACCTCGCGTTCTGAAGGGGGCAGTCAATGAACACTGGACAAGGCAGACTATCACCAGATCTTTTCCTTCTCTATTTTTTGATTGGGAGGGGGAGAGAATGAGGGAGAAAGGGGGCACAGGGGGCACAGGGAGCACAGGCTTTGATGGAACGCCCTCCCATTACACCTCCAAGTTTGTCTGGTATTGATGCAAGTGTTTGAAATGGCAAACCTGTTTGGTTCCCCCACTTTGTAACAAAACCACAATGCAAAGACATTAACCAGACATTTACAATAAGTATGAATAGTACCACTCCGCTTGTCTGAATTACAAAATTTGATATTCACTTCTGAGTTGAACACCTTGTGGTAGTGGAACAGCTGACTATGACAAACTATAGGATAGTGACTCAGCCGACTGCCTGACAACTTCTGTGTGTAAGCGTTAAATGCAATTTCCATCAAAGGTAGACAGGCCCTGTGAGCAATGCATTTATCATAAGCCCCAAAACCATAAAAGCCCCATGTGCATCTCTTGGTTTATTTTCTTTAACTTAAAAGCCCAATTAAGAACTAATTCCTCTATACCTGAAAATAAGGCAGCACAGAACGTAGCCAGAAAGGCAATAAACACACACATCAGTCCTAGCCCAATGTTCTAAAACAATTAAGGCCCTTAACATTTGGCACCTGTGACTTAACGAAGCCAAATTGAAGCGACAAAATGGGGTCAACAGAGTTAATTGCAGACTGGCGCGACTCCTACAACCGGAATGCTTGTGGGCATTAAAAAGGGGGTCGTTTAAGCTGTTAAGATGGCAGAGCTGATTTGGGGGGGGGAGCCAACGGGTGATTTTTTTCTCAAAGTTCAATATTCTTTCACACAATACCCCAGTTCAAAAGTGTGAAATCCTGATTAAATTAGCTTTGATGCAAGTGGTCGCTATGCATGTACATGTAGGTAGTACCAACTCATCAGTCCGAATCCAGAAACTTCCAACCCTTTTACATGAAGGTTCATCATCCAACATATAGTGCACATGGTAACATGAGATCCTGGAATCAAGCCAAAACTGTATAAATGTACATGCCATATACCTACTGACTGACACAGAAGAAACAAGAAGTGCACACTTTTTGTACTCTGGCAGTACCATCGCGAAAGTATCCTATTTCTATAAAGCCATGCTGTCTTCTTGTGGTCAAAATACATGACAAAATCACGTTTAAATAACAACTTGTGGCAGTTTCTTACAACGCTATCTGCCTCGACCAGATGCACCCCCTCAGTGGTTGAAAAGAGCTAACGTTGGTCGGGAATGCTCGTTTTATTGGTAGCAATGCGACCGTAACGCGTGTATGTCATAGTCGTTTGTGAGCCAGCAGAGTGCACTTCCTACCACAGAAGCCTGTGCTGCTTGGAAAATTGCAGCCTCTCTTAGTCCAGATTGGTGCTCACAGGCATGATCCGAGGTTGTGTCATTTCATTCAGTTGACCTCTACCTAACAACCTAACAACCCACGGATACCATTTTGAAGCGGTGTTGGCATGCTGTCTACGGCTGGTTTCCACAGACAAGGACAATCACAGGAGTACTGTAGTAGCCAAATCTGGGATCAAACAGTCAGCTCTCAAAATATCTCAAAATATAGTTTGGCAAGAGGCTTTGCATTGTCCAATCCTTGTCAGCTAGCAAGCGTTGCCATTCCCGTCAGATCAGAACAACGGGGAAAATGGAAAACCACACCTACGTGTAGGAGCCCAACTGACTGTTCCTACAGCATTCAACCCAGCCTCGTTGCCATCTGCAATTTCATCCCAGTTCCCTTATGTCAACTCCTGATTTCCGCCCCTGTAAACCGACACTAATGTCCAATTCATCCACTGATAATGCAGCCAGATGTGCTTGACCCTGGCCATTCTGAGCAATAACAGCACACATGAATTAGCGATTTGCCAATAACTCCCCATTATCTGCCTGCCTGCTCTACACAGCCTCAATTACCCAGAGGATTCTAAGAAGACCTAGGATCGTAAGTGTGTGTCATTTTCTTCCTTTTCTCCCGGCTCATTATCTGTCGTGAATTATTCAGCACTGAAGGCGGACCTTCTCTTCTCTGTGCTGGTAGCCTCTCAGTGCAAAGGAATTTTAATTCCTTCCATCATTCTGACAAACATGACATATCGCTTATGCAACAAGCCCGGTGGCATTTTTTTGTTCATAAAGAATACTCCATACGGTAAGTAAGAAAGTAATCGGTATATTTATTTGTCAAATATTAGCACCAAGACCCGAAGAAAACAACACCATCAAATAAAAGCAAGGATGTCGAGACCGTGGGTAAGGCTTTGGATTTTCTTTCTCCCCAAACATCATGTGGAATGAGTCCAAACCTGCATTCACTTTTGAATTTGCCCCCCACATCAAAACCTAGATATGCCACTAAACACCCCCCCACACACACACCCATTTTATAAGGCACAGTGTGGAATATTGAATCACTATTTAGCACACTTACAGTCCACAATGTGAAAATTTAATCAGTGTGATTTCTGTGGGTATATGAAATGGACAGAAACAATACTCCCACAGAATAAAGATCCAAATTTTTCTGCACTTGCAATGCAGAAGTATGGGACTTTTATCAATATGAGCACTTTTCAAACTGTGGTAGTGAAAAGCCCCTGACATACAGACAAAATATAATTTTAGGTAATCCAACCATTCCTAAAAGGTGCAGGAACATCACAGACTAGATTGCTTGTTATATTAGTGTGAATCTTTCAAAAGGCAGACTTGCAAAAAGAGGTCCAGGACAATTGCAGGGTGGTAAACAAACAATTTCCCGAGCTACATGTAGCTGTCTAGGTGTTCACTGCTCCGTCAGCATTTGTGTTTATCCGGTTAGTTCTGAAAGCATTATTGATCAATCAATGCAAAGGCTGCCTCCATGGGTTGGGTGGACAGTTGGCATATGTGGAAGAATCTGCAGAATCAGGACTTCACACTTGTTTTTATTTGGGGTGGACTTCAGGAACTTGTCTCCTCGTTAGGTAGAAATGACATATATAGCAGCCGGTGATGCACAATATGGAGATCCTCCTCCCCGGAAGCTAGCAAATCTTTGTAAATCAGAATATTATTCCATCACGGTAAGATCAATAATTAGGAAATATAAATATTTATTTGTGATGTGAAGGTTACCTAAAATCTTGATGGTTTGCAAAGACAAAGCAAATTGGCCTGTAATTTGACTGAGACCGTATACCAAATACACATCCATCAGCAATAACCTGAACTGCTCATTGTACCATTGCAATAAATCAGTTTTGATCTATATTTTGTGTGGCAAACACGCCAGTATATACTTCAGAGCAAACTGGAACAGCTGGAATTTGTTGTCCAAACAGAGCCCTGTACATGTGTCAGCCCAGAGCTCATTATCGCTCAGCTATAGACCAGGAAATATGGCATGAAATTAACGCAGGTCACCAGGCTGCTCTGAATCATGCTGAAAATGACAGAACTCACTTTCCACAATTTTCTTGGCACAGGGTACGGTGCAAACCTGGTGGTCTATTTGATCAGTCTGATGAAGTGAAAGGACACTACCATCAGCCAGTTAAAATCATCGGATGTGCCAATTCGGCTAAGAGTCTGCATTCTTTGTCGCAGCCCAATCCCCAGAAATTCCCCCCAAAAGGAAACCTAGTAAGAACCAGGCAAGGAGAAGTTCTACAATTACTTTTCAGTAAAGGACTCTCTTTGTGAAAAATAAAACGTTTGTTCTAGGACGGTAACTGCACATTCTAACAGCCTGCCATTTATATACAGGTACTGCAGCTTTGCTTCCTAGTGGTATGTACAAAAGATACAGACAATAGCAGCCTATTGTGCCTCTTCTAAGAAACATGGGTAACTGTCACCTGTGCAACAACTTAATGTATGGTATGTACCATAGATTCAATGGTCATTGGGAATGGTGCCATTTGGCACTAGAAATGCTACCGGTGCAATGAGGAATATGACTGAAGAATACCAGAGAGTATGTTGTCATGGGAACATTCTCACACAGGTACAGGTTCTAATACAAACTCTTCAGAGACTCCGATTGAGAATGGATACAAGAGGACAATCCTGCCCAATTAAGGTTTGCCAGAGCAAAGTATTGGGACAGAGGGCTAGGCATGATCTCATGCAGTGCACTTCAAATTCAACGAACAAAGAACTAGCTTATCAGCTTCCTGAAAAGGAGGCTAAGAGAGGTGAGAACGATTTTGATGCATCTTTGAAACAGGTGCAGTTACGGAAGGAATTCTCTTTCGAGCTTTTATTT